CACAAAGCTAGCAGGTGGTAGAACCACAATTTGAATGACTGTTTCCAGAGCCCACTCTCTGATTGCCCCTGTTAGACCACCTCCTAGTGTGGTAGTGCCTAACTATTTCTAGGTATTATTTCTCTCTGCTAAACTTTTGAAAGAAGCTGGATAATAATCTATTTAAGAGTGAGAATTTGAAACCTGTTTTAACTTAGGTTCTGATGGAAACAAATCCAATATGCAGGATAGTTTCTCTCTTTAAACCTTTAGAAGCCTGATCTCCCCACCTGCTCCCTTCAGGAGTGCTCTGTTCCTATAGAGGTGTGCCCCAGTCAGCTTACTGACAAGGCTGTGTTTTCCTCAACATTCTCTTTTGAATCTGCAAAAATAGACTACATCAGTGCTCTGCTGAAAATCAAGTTTCCACATAATCAAGCATGGCAAATGTGTTTTTCCAAGTAAAGTAACTAAGGGTCAGAAAGTTAAATTGCTAGTTGATGAGTCAAAGGTAGGATTTCTTCTTCTAATTTCCGCATTCTTTCTGTTGATCAAGATTATTAAATGCAAATTATATATGAACATCAGTTAATATTAAATTATCCATCAATTAGAACAAGGATGAACATATTAAATTCAGTCTTAACTTTTATGGCCTCCAGAGATTCTTGAAGATTGTGAAACTTGAAAGAAGTTAAAAGAAAAAAGCATGAGTCATTAGTTTCACACTTTGAAACAGAGATATGGAAAGGATTCCATTCTCTACATTATGATTTCAGAAAAAAGTTTGCTCAACTTTTCAAAACACACACTTATAATATTCCTTCATAGGAGTTGATCCTGCCAGTGTCATATACTTATCTGAAAGACTAAGCTATGCACGTTTAAGTACACAAGGCTGATTTTAAAAATTACTTAAAATATTTTTTAAAATTTTAAAAGTAAGAAAAAATGTAAAACTTATCCAAGAATTATGAAAAATTGATTTTTAATGTTTCTTGCTACACAGCAATTGAAAATTACATTATAGCTAAGTTTGTCATTTTGCTTCCTGTAGTGTCCAAGCCCTGACTTCACAATGGTGCAAAAGTGATAGGCATTCAGTAGAAACTATACTTTGAGTGCTTATAGAACCATTCTGTTTCACTTTCAGTGCAATAATTTATAAATTACATGAGATGTTCTATACTTTATTATAAAATAGGCTTTGTATTAGATGAATTTCCCCAAGTGTACGCTAATGTAAATGTTCTTCTGAGCAAATTTAAGGTAGGCTAGGCCAAGATATGATAACTAGTAAGTTAGGTATATTAAATGCATTTCGACTTACGTATTTATAACTTATGATAGGTTTATTAGGACATTTAAAACCTAGCAAGGTTATGTACTTTTCTGTTCATAGTTGGGATAAGGAACAAAGTAACTCAGGAGTCTTTATTCTCCCCGAGTCATTTTCTTTCCTCTTCGTTTTTTATCCTGTATTTACTAACTAGGATTTTGCTTTTCCAGGAACTATATCCCTTTGGACTTATTAAGTCCTATAGAATAATCAATTTCATCAATTTCTAGGTATCCTGATTTCTGGGCAGCAGGTGGTTAAATCTGAAAGGAGGAGAAAATGAAAATCC